TTATTAAGCACCTATTATGTGTGAGGTACTTTATAAATATTATTTCATTTGACCCTCACAACAACCCTGGTAGGTAGGTGCTATTATTATCTCCATTTTGCAGTTGAGGAAAGTGAGGCAAACAGAAGTAACTTCTCCAGGGTTACACAGCTAGTTAGTGTCTGAAGCTAGATTGGAACTCAGGATTTCTATCTACCCGGCTTCCTAGCAGCCTCTGGTCAGGACTTTTTTTCTTTAATAAAAAGAGAAAGTTTGTGGTCCATCTTGGGGGGGAGCTGCTACTCTCTTCTTAGGTATTATAACACATAGGTACTATTACCTTAGACCCTTAGCCTACAGATCTGAGATTGCAAGACCCTGTACTGCCCAGATAGATTCTAAAAAGCCATCCCTACTGCTGCAAGCCTCCTGAGACCTCCTGAATGTTACCACCCAACCTCTAACTAGACACTTGAAGAACTGCCACCTTTCTCTTCCTTTTTTTCTCCACTAGCCGATCTGAGCAACAGATCTTTGGGATGATCACGTAACTGGCCAGGATCCAACTTGAGAGACATACCTGGGGAGCATTCCATCTCAACACCAGCCATCCCAAGACCTCTACTGCCTGAAAAGATTATGCTTCATTAGGAGCTACACCTTCTCTGTATGTGACCTCTTTCTTTCTTCCTTGAGTTTGGGGGTTAGTCTAACATGAAGTCATTCATTTAGAGGGCAATTGCTGCTAAATGTAGGAAGTAGTAGGGATGGTATACTTTGATCAATTCTCTTATTCAATTACCAAAAGTAATTTTTGAGTTATTTGTAAAAGGAAGAGGGCACTAAAACAAGGAGGAAAATTCCTCCAGATGTGGACATTTTCCTCCCCCCCCATTATATATATACACATACACACACGCACACACACATGCATATATAAACATATATGTCTGTATATATACACATATGCATATGTGTATGTGTGCATGCATGTGAATGTGTACACATGTGTATATATACATATAGAATGAATATATTATATATATAAATTCAGCTGCCATGTTATACTATTGATTTCTGTTGAGTCTAAAGCTGATTAAAATCATCACATCTATTTCAAAAAATTACTACCTAGTTCTAACTCTTCTTATCCTTCTGAAGTTGGTATTTTGAACCCATGTAAGCTTTCCCATTTATCCCCTACTGAATTTCATCATATTCCAAGGCTTTCTAGACATGGATCATCATTTATTCCCAGCTTTGTGACATTTGCCAATTTGACAAGCATATCTGAGATTGCCCCATAGCAGGGTTTACAGGGTACATTGAGGCCCTTTAGGGGATCTAGAGTCAGAATCACAGCATCTCAGAGTTGGAAGGATCCTCAGAGGTCAGCTAGTATAACCCATGTCTGAAGAAAGGAATTTCTATGAGAAGCCCCTAATGATGAAGAAACAGAGGCAGTCTTTTCTTTTTTTTTTTTTTAACTGAATAACTCTATCAGGATGATAATCTTTATATTGGGCTGACATCTGCCTCTCTCTATCACACATAGTCCTACATTCTGATTCCCAGGACCAACCAAAAGAAGTCTATTGACTCTTTTAGAGACAGCCCCTTTTAGTACTGAAGACAGCCAATCTAAAGCTTTCTTCTTCTATCAAACATCTCCAGTGTCTCCAATTGAGCCAAGCATGTGATTTAGGGCTCTAGACATCAAGGTTTTATAAGTTCATTAGAAGTTCATTAGAAGTTCAAGAAGAGCAGAGACTGCATGACATCACTTGATCTACACTCAATTGTGCACATTCTTCTCAACCACCTTCACGGAAAATAGAGGGCTTACCATGTTACAGCCTGCTCCTACATGAGCAGTCGGTCTTTGGTCACTAGGACTTCATTTCTAACTGTCCATTTCTGTGCATCACCTAATAACTTGGTAGCAGGAAAGAATCAGACACCCCCTAAAGTGAGCAATTTCTTCTCAGGCCCAGACAGAGCAGGACTCTATGTTCATTTATAACATATACTTTCGAAATTAGTAACAGCTCTGTAAATATACTCTTGTTGTCCAAGAGTACTAGATTTTCAAAATGTGTTTCCATCATTGGGAAAGGGTCCCTGTGGTGAGATTTCTTTTGCTCCAGAATTTTGCCTGAGGGGACAAGTTAAAGCTGGGATTTTTAGAAATGCATTTTGTTGGAAATTAGCTTCAATAGTAGGTTTGCTTTCTGAACACAACGGGGTTGATTTGCTAATCAATAGTTTGTCTTGAGAGGCAGTGTGGAAGCTGACATACATCTCAGCAAGCCCTCCCATCTCCAACATCATCTTTTGAAAACACAAATAACTGATGGGAAATTACTGTCCACAGTTCAATGTTTTCACTTCTCCTCGCTACAAGCCCTTTACAACCTGACCCCTTCCTAATCACAAAAACATTAGTTCAATGTAATTTGGCAAACATTTATTAATTGACTTCTACATGCAAGGAACTGCTGGACAATGAGCACAACGTGACAAAAACAAAACAGTTACGATCCTCAAGAATCTTACAAGCTCTTTGAGGGTGGATATAACTGGTGCACAGGACAAGGCAATTTGGGAAAGAGACCTAGTAAACTTTTAGTTGCAATGGTTATGAACTCATTCGGGAGAGGGGATTCAATTTGCTTTCTAAAAGTTGGGTTTCTCTTTTAACCATTTGAAAAAGAAATTTTGTGTCCTTGCCTTAAATATTTTTCTTTCTACAGATGCAAGACATTTTTAAAATTTGGGGGGAATATTTAATCATATAAAAGTTAAGTAAGCATCTTTTGCAAACCTTAAATAGCTTCAAAGCTGATGCCATTGGTTTTTTATGTCATGGAAAATTAGAGTCTCACCAGGGTTGCTTATTTTCTGCCTTAAAAGTAGAAATTTATTTTGGTATTTAGGTAAAATCTAGAAACAAAACCTCCAGCAGTCTCTTTTTAGTTAAGGGGAGGGGTGGAGAGAGAAGAAAGAATAGACCCAAAAAAAGCAGATGATGGGAGGAAAAAGCCCAGGGAAGGACTCTATATTTTGTCCCCTTATATCTCAAACTGTAAGATAGCCATTCCTTCTACATTCTTTTCCCCACATCCAGTAAATCTGCTGCTTCTCTCTCTCACAAATCATCTTTATAGTTTATGTGGTCACAAGAAGAACTGATGGGATATGAATATCCAGAACTTCTTGCTTTTCCCCTAGTTCGTGGTCATCTTATTGGGACTTATGTCCAGAAGAAGGTATATAAAGTGGGAATCAGGTTCACAGTGTAAAACATTTGGTTCAATTTCATTGTTCTGCCACTTGGTGTCTGTATGACCTTGGGCAAGTTGTTTCACGTCAATGAGTTTTAGCTCCTCATCTGTGAAATGAGGGATTTTGGCAAGATGGCCTCTAAGGCATTTCCAACTTCTTATCAAGGGTCTATGATCTGATTCTGATGGAAAACTTCATAGAATCACAGACTTTCAGAGTTTGGAAGGCACTGAGAGGACACCTAGTCCAACTCATATGGAGAGTGGGGATAGAGAAAGAAAGAGAATCTTCTCAACAATATACCCAACATTTGCTTAAAATGTTCCACAAAGGGGAATCCCATTTGCTTCCAAGTCAGTCCATTCCATGTTTGGAAAACTCTAATTATTAGAAATTTTTTTTCCTAGCATCAAGTCTAAGTCTCTACCTAGTTCTTACCCCTAGGGCCAAACTGAACAAATTTTAATCCCTCCACCATTTGGCAAAAACTTGCATATATTCCTTGCATCTACATACTTGCATGTGCCATCCTCCAAAACTGTTCTTTAAATATATATATCTTCCTACCAATCCTCATACAGCATGGCCAGATCTACCATCATGAATAACCATTGTCCATTTAGGGACCTTGGGCAAATGACTTAAGCTTTTCTGTGATTCAGGTTTCTCATCTCTAAAATGAAGCAGTTATAGTCAATGGCTTCTAAGGTCCTTTCTGACTCTAAATCTATGCTCTTATTATCCAATGCAACAAGTAGGAAGCACCCTTTGTATACAAAGGACTTTGCTAGATCCTGAAAATAGGGAAAGTTTAGTTAAGTAACTGTTCTTGTCCTCAAGGATTTTAGTGGGGATAAGACATAAACACAAATAACTAACAAAGCATGGTATTACATAAGTGTACCAGAGAAAGCAAAACAAATTGCTATGGGAGGTCTGAGGGAGAACACAGCTGTTGACTGGGAAGTAACAAAAAACACTAACAATGAAGGCAATAATAGCAACAACAATATTAACGAGTTTTTGATGGATCTATGATATCATCAATGTGTGCACTTCCTTCACTGATCCATAGCCCAAACTATCCATACCTCCCAAAACTTTTCAATTTTTTTCCATGTTTTTACATGACTCCTCAATCAATCAATCAGTCAACAAGCATTTATTAAGCACCTCCTATGTGTAGGGCACTGTTCTAGGCAATGGTAATTCCACTGAGGTTCTATGCTATCTCCCTGATAAAATTTTCTCTGATACCCTTAGATGATGGTAATAATGATAATAATAACAATGGTAGAATTCTGATTAATGCAGTGACAAATCATGGTTCCAAAGGACTGATGTTGAGGAATGCTGCCCACCTCCTGACAAGAGAGGTGATGGACTCTGATGCAAAATGACACATACATTTTTGGACATGGACAAAACAGGCATTTGTTTGTTCAACTATGCATATTTTTGTGAGAAATTTTTTTCTTTACTTTAATTGTTCAATTGAGGAAGAGATAAATGATTGTTAATCAGAAAAGTAATACAAATTTTAAATTATATCAAAAAAAGATAATATCCATTATCATTGACTAGGAGGTTTGTGGAGGAGATGGCTTTAGAACTGGGCCTTAAAGGATGAGTACAACTTCCCCAGGCAAAAGGGAGAAGGGAAAATATTTTTTCTGGCACAGGCAAAAGACACAGGGCTAGCAGAGAGGGAATATGGATGACTTGGCCAGACTTACTTTGCTGTGGGCACAAATTGCAGAACCCAAGAGTTTCCAGGTACCACCCCTTCTGTCCATGCGGAGCATGCGCAAAATCTGTAGGAACCGTAAACTCCGGAGCGAGGTGGCAAGAACATTGCCTTGGTTTCCAACAGCGACCACTGGCACTGAGGCAATCAGCACGAAGATGTCTGGGAAATGAGAGAGAGAGAGAGAGCGCCCATTAAGAAAAATTAAACAAGCACCCTCCACTTAGGTCTATTGAGTTGCTATATCCCATCTGGGGATAAGAAGATCAGAAGCTACCTGTGTTTGAGGAACTCAGGCAGCTGGTAAAACCTTTGGCTGAGACACCTTCCCAAGTTACAATTTATCTTCTGGGACAAAGATGACTAATCTGAACCATGAGTTGTTTCTTTGCTTGTTATGGTCAAAGCATTGAGGAACATTATTGACTGAGTGCTAAACTCACTAAAGTGAGCGGTCAATCAACTAATCAACGGATAAATCAAGAAACATTTTTTAAGTACCTACTATGCGCTAGGTACAGGGGACAAAAATGTAAAAATGAAAAATTCCCTGCCTTCAAAGAGCTTACATTCTATTGGAAAATTTGGTTCAAATGCCACCTCTGACATTCACTATCTCTTTGACTTTGGGTGAGTTATTTATAAGCTCATAATATTTTATAAGATGACCTTGATAATATATTTTTTTATTTTTAGTTTTCAACATTTACTTCCACAAGATTTTGAGTTCCAAATTTTCTCCCCATTTCACCCCTCCCCCCACCCCAAGATGGCATGCATTCTGAATATCCCATCCCCTAGTCTGCCTTCCCTTCTATCTCTCCACCCCCTTCTCTTATCCCCTTCCCCTTCTATTTTCCTGTAGGGCAGGATAGATTTCTGTAACCCATTTCATGTATTTCTTATTTCCCAGTTGCATGTGAAAACATTTTTTTTTAAGCGTGTGTTTTTAAAACTTTGGGTTCCAAAGTTTCTCCCTCCCTCCCCATCCACCTTCATTGAAAAGGCAAGCAACTCAATATAAGTTATACATGTGCAGTTATGCAAAACCCTTCCATAGTTGACATGCTGTGAAAAACTAACTCTATTTCCCTTAATTCTATCCTGCCCCCCCCATTTGTTCTATTCTTTCTTTTGACCCTGTCCCTCCTCAGAAGTATTTGTTTCTGATTATCCCCTTTCCCAATCTGCCTCCTCTCTATCATTCCCTTGCTATCTTGTCCCTTTCCCCTCCTGTTTTCCCGTAGGGTAAGACAGATTTCCATATCCAATTGAGTGTGTATGTTATTCCCTCCTTAAGTCAAATCCTATGAGAATAAGATTCACTCATTCCTTCTCACCTTCTCCTGTTTCCCCTTCACTGTAAGAGCCTTTTCTTTTCTATTTTTTTTGTGAGATAATTTACCCCATTCTACCTCTCCCTTTCTCCTTCTCCTAGTATAATCCTCTCTCAACCCTTAATTTTATTCTCCAGATATGACCCCTTCATCAACTCACCCTGTGCCCTCTATCTATCTATTTATCTATCTATCTCTACATATCTATATATACAAACATATAATTTTTTCCCTGCAATTACCCTAATACTGACAAAGGTCTCATGAGTTACAAATACCATCTTTCCATGCAGGAATGGAACCTTAATAAGTCTCTTATGATTTCTCTTTTCTGTTTACCTCTTCATGATCCACTTGAGTCTTGTATTTGAAAGTCAAATTTTCTATTCAGTTCTGGTCATCAAGAATGCTTGAAAGTCCTCTATTTCACTGAATGACCATTTTTTCCCCTGAAGGATTATACTCAATTTTGCTGAGTAGGTGATTCTTGGTTGTAATCCTATCTCCTTTGCCCTCTGGAATATTATATTCCATGCCCTGTGTTCCCTTAATGTAGAAGCTGCTAAATCTTGTGTTATCCTGATTGTGTTTCCACAATACTTGAATTGTTTCTTTCTGACTGCTTGTAATATTTTCTCCTTGACCTGGGAACTCTGGAATTTGGCTACAATATTCCTAGGAGTTTTCCTTTGGGGATCTCTTTCAGGAGGAGATCGGTGGATTCTTTCCATTTCTATTTTGCCCTCTGGTTCTAAAATATCAGGGCAGTTTTCCTTGATAATTTCTTGAAAGATGATGTCTAGGCTCTTTTTTTGATCATGGCTTTCAGATAGTAAAATAATTTTAAAATTCTCTCTCCTGGATCTATTTTCCAGGTCAGTTGTTTTTCCAATGAGATATTTCACATTGTTTTCTAATTTTTCATTCTTTTGGATTTGTTTTACAGTGTCTTGACTTCTTATAAAGTCACTAGTTTCCAATTGCTCTACTCTATTTTTTAAGGAAGTATTTTCTTCAGTAATCTTTTGGACTTCCTTTTCCATTTGGCCAATTTTGCTTTTTAAGGCATTCTTCTCCTCATTGGCTTTTTGGACCTCTTTTGCCATTTGGGTTAGACTATTTTTTAAGGTGTCATTTTCTTCAGTATTTTTTTGGGTCTCCTTTAGCAAGCTGTTGACTTGTTTTTCATGATTTTCTTGCATCACTCTCATTTCTCTTCCCAGTTTTTCCTCTACTTCTCTTACTTGCTTCTCAAAATCCCTTTTGAGATCTTCCAAGGCCTGGGACTGATTCATATTTTTCTTGGAGGCTTTGGATGTCGGAGCTTTGACTTTGTTGTCTTCTTCTGGTTGTATGTTTTGATCTTCTTTGTCACCAAAGTAAAATAATATAGCCTGACTGTTTTTGTGCTGCTGACTCATGATTCTGGGCAATTACTTGAGTTTTAAACTCTTTGTTAAGGTAAAAGTCTGCTTTCCATGTGAAGAGTGTACTGTCCCAAGCTTTAGTGTTTTGTACAGTTGTTTTCAGAGATACTTCTAGGGACCTGAAAATTTTCAGTTCTTCCAAAGTGCTATGATAAGGGGTGAGGTGTTTTCTCTCCACCACTACAACAAGCTCCACCGTGCCAGCGTTCCTCCTAGCCCCAGGACTGCCCCTCAGAACTGTGACCCAGATCCAAGCATGGGCAAAGCAAGAGATTCCTGCCTCAGCACTGGCAAAGAGATCCCTGCAATCCCCCTCTGATCAGCTACTCTATTTCCCCTCAGTCTGTGGGTCAGAAGCTCAGGAGGCAGCCGCTGCCCCAGGGGCATGTGGCTGAGACCTAGCTTCTCTCTCACTGAAGTCACAGATTTTTCCCACTGACCTTCTAAGTTGTCTTTGGCATTCAGGGGTTGAGAAGTTTGGAAACTGCCACAGTTGCCCACGATTCAGTCCTCTGAGGTCTGCTCCAGGTTCCCTGTGGCCTGTGTGCCCATGCCAAACTGCGCTCCTCCCCCCGCCTGGCACGATATACCTTTCTGATCAACCATCCAGGTTGTCTTGGGCATGAAATGTGTTTCACTCTGTCTTTTTGTGGGTTCTGCTGCTTTAGAATTTGTTTAGAGCAACTTTTTACAGGTATTTGGAGGGGTTTGGGGGAGAGCTCAGGCAAGTCATTGATTTCCCTCCACCATCCGGCTTTGATAATATTTACAATGCCTTCCTAACAAAGTCATTGTGAGGCTCAATAGGCATCATATGATAATATATTTACATCTGGAATGGACTTTAGAATATAAATTATAGATATTTGAAAAGTGTTTTGGGAAGTAGGTAGCATAGTAGATACAATGTTGGACCTGGAGTCAGTAAAACCTGAGTTCAAATCTGGCTTCAGATACTTATAGCTGGGTGACTCTGGGAAAGTCACTTAACCTTTGCCTGCCTTGGTTTCCTTGTCTTTAAAATGGGCATAAAAATAGTACTTACTTCCCAGTGTTGTTTTGAGGATAAGATAAAATAATATTTGTAAAATGCCTCATAGATTTTAAAGCATTATATAAATGCTAGCTGTTACTCCCGTTATCGCAAACTTTAAAGTGCTATATAAATATCAATTACTATTATCGATGAACCTCTGTATTTAACTAGGATAGTCCTCAGGAAGTTGACTCTTTATCTCTGGGACTTAAATCTAAGCCCTTTCAGCATGGTGGGATCTGAACCACATGGCCATGTAAAGAAGCATGTGTTTATTGATGAGGAGGCTGGGGTCTGGGAGTACAGGGACTTCCCTAAGATCACATAGCAAGTTAGAAGGGCAAATACGATTGGGAGCAAATCTGCAATCTTCTCTTCCTTCCCTCAGTTGGCCCCAGTGAAATTATATAAAGGCACAGCATGTTTTTTGAGACCTCTAGGGCAATAGACAATTTTTGGGATCTCAAAAATTGTTACGTGAACAAAGCATCTTAGAAGCAGAACAAGTCTCAGAGGTCATCTAACCCAGTGGTGTTAAATGCAAATAAAAGCAAAACCACTAAATGGCAGCAGCCATCTGCTAGTCACATATTGACTGACTTTTAAAATAGAATGCTAGCTACGATTTATTCTATTTTTGTTAATTTTAAAAATATTTGCGAATTACATTTTAATCTGGTTGAGGCCATACTTAGGAGTATTGTGGGTAACACAGCTCCTCCTGTTACCTCTAATCTAGCCAGGTTCTGACTAAGAACCCCCTCTATACTATCAGGGGCAGCTAGGTGGCACCATAGTGCACAGAGCACTGGGCATCTTCCTGAGTTCAAATCTGGCCTCAGACACTCATTAGCTGTGTGACCCTGGGCAAGTCATTTAACCTTGTTTGCCTCAGTTTCCTCATCTATAAAATGAGTTGGATAAGGAAATGGCATACCATTCCCGTATCTCCGCCAAGAAAACCCCAGATAGGGTTGCAGAGAGTTGGACACCGCTCAAATGACTGAACAACAACTGTAATATCAGTGTGATATGCTGCAGTTGGGTAACCCTTGGGCTCTATGTACTCAGACTTTGACTATGCCTACACTGAGAACATTTTATAAATAATATATAAATTATGGGGCACATGCATCATAATAACAATTCCCAATTCTATAGCACTCCATGGCTTACCAAGCACTCTCCTCCACAACATCTGAGACATAAGTGGTGCAAATATTATTATTCCCATTTTACAGATGAGGAAACTGATATTCAGTGAGATTAAGTGACTTGCCTATGGGTTACAAAGATAAGTGGAAGTTCTGGGATATTGAAAAATCAAATCTCAGAATCTCAGAGTTTGGACAGGGTCTCAGA